GGAGGAAGAACCTCGAAGACAATCCCGGTGCACTTAAGTGGCATATAGTACTAGGATCCTGGATTTGAATCTCCAACACGCAGCAACATCAATTTCCAGAGAGTCCATTGTACACGCCAGACATACTTGTTGACCTATCTGCATCAGAGTCCTCACATTGAAGGCCCCCAGATTCAGTGGCTGACGAGGCTTCAGAATATGCAATCTTTTTTGCGGTAAACTACTTACCGAGTTACTTGGCAACGAACTTTGGCGAGTAACGATTAAGTTGTCCGAGGGAATGTTACGGGTTGGAAGAAGGGGTAAAGAGNCAAAGGTTAGGATATCTGAGAAGTAGACCACTTATCACTACCCACCCCGCTCGATGCAATGGGCAGCGCGGTCCTGATTATCCTGCACCACGACCGATGCAGTATGGAATTATTTTTTGGTTGTGTATGCATTTGAGTTTGATGGACGGGTACTTTCAAGGGGTCCAGCCACTAAGCAGGAGAACGACTAGGGTTCTCGATCAAATCCTTTAGTTCTGACAAGAACCTGACCGCAAGGTAGCGGTTAAGGCCGATTGGAGGCCCATTTACTTGGATCAATTACTCCTCTACCATTTTACCGACTGAGACGCTAGATGGAGTCGAACCCCCAACCTGGAGGATTAGGAGACTGGACTTCATTTGACCTCTACCCACTGACCTTCCAGGCATGATTAGATATGCGGCTTGACAAAAGCCATCCCGTATAGCTCATCACACGCCGCTGCGTTACCTTGTAGGTCAGACTCTGGCTAACCGAAGGCTCCGGTCGTGAATTTCGCAAGGAAATTCAGCTGCATCAATCTGAGCAAACTGGCAGTATTGCACCCCTAAAATAAACCATGGAATTGTTTTTCTGTTTTTTAGATAATTTAACTAATTTGTTTGGAGCACAGTATGGACTCAGAGGTGTGTGAAACACATTGGGGACAGCTTATAATGCTTCCTAGGTTCAGATCAGTTGGTTATGTGGCGTCTCGAAAGATATTAAATTCTCCGCGATCAAATTCTCATCTTGTTCATCTTTTATTCCCAACGTGGTTGATTTATCCAGGCGGAAGAAACTACATGCAATTAGTCTGACCTAAAAATAGCAATTGTTAGAGAGAATTTAGAAAACGATCGGTTTGTAGCTTCATTGTCTTTCACTCTTTTTTCTGACTATCACGAGCATGCATTCTTTTGTGTGCAGCGTATGAGAAAATCGTTCTCTGTAAGCGATCCAAAGCTTCGCCGAGTTGGTCCGTTGTATATGATCTGCTTGGAATAATCAACCAGTGTTATTTGGTGGTTCCCATTTCGTTAATCGGCTAAAGTCTCCACTTCATGGGTTGTAGTTTGATAGTTTGGACCACGTGGAACGCTACAGATCAGTAGAAGTCAGTGTGAAATGGAATGGGTGGTGCTGTTTGACCCTACAATATACACACGTAATCATTTCCGAGAAATAAACAAAGTGGTGTTTATTTACTCGACGTTAATAAAGCCTCAAATTATCCTGGTCATATAGACCATTCTCCTTCTGTTGAAAAAATATTGAAAATCGGTTCTCGTAGCTCGGGTGAACTGGAATCCGTTTCGCTTGTTCGCCAAGCTTGGCAATTTGCTTCAAACGTTTCATCACCAGCTGAGGTGACATCAGTGTTTGTGAAGTGGCATGCATCTCTTGTGAGATTTCGACCACTGTTTGAACAATGGAATCCCCGAAGTTACCTCCCGTTCCTGGACTCATTCCTGATTCGCAATTCCCACTGTCTGCATACCTGTCTAGTATTCAGTTTTGTGCGCGTCCTTATCAACCGCATACCCAGTATTGCTAGCCTTTCTGACCATCTTTATATTATATTTATGTTTTCTATGCACATCGTTTTGAACAGAATGTTTTCTCTCATCGGTTTGCGAATCATGCTAGAGATTCATCCTCCTATGTGTATAAAGCTTTTCTTGACTTGAAATGCCTTAAAAACTAATTCCTGTGTTGCACTTCCGTATGATTCAATGCATATATTCGCTTAGAATTTCTGTAAAAAACAGGCGTAAACGAATGGAAGAAGAGAACTCACTTCTTTGTACAAGTCGCTTTCCTTCAAGTCGTACAAAGTGTCTGTGCTGTTTGCTTCGTAAAATCCAAACCACTCCAGGATTGGAAAGAAAAACAAGAACGGGAGAATCGGGAGAGAGAGAGAGAGAAAAAATAAAGCGATTCATAGAAAAACAGTAGTGGTGTACAGTAAACATTCAACCCAGTACTGTTCTTGTCATCCCAACCTCGCTGGGACAAATAAGCTTATCGATCATGTCAGGCAATTAGCCGCAAATCACTGGCATTCGTTGGTTTAGACCCTCTATTCGCAGAAACTATGGGCAGATTAACATTTCGATAACTATATTTTAAATAACTGTTCAAATGTTCAATGCATAACACACTCGGGTTACTGGGGGCGGGTGAGTTAGAAATGGTAGAGCGCAAAGTTCTCAAAGTTAAATCACATTTAACCCAGCTACTTGTTAATAATAGTGTGGGGCAAATAATATTGATTTGGAGTAAGCATCCTTCAAAATTCCTCTTCACACACGATCCTCAGGACATTCGGTCAACTATACAGTCGGCAAGCACTGGGATCGAGTTTAGATCTTCTAAGAGCTCATCAGTAGCGAATATCCGGACCCGACTCACTGGGCCAACGGGCTCACATGTTGCAAAAAGATCACATCATGATTACTGTGAAACCAGATAAAAAGTTTTGTACTGTTTTTGTTAGAATTTCACCATGGACAACTGTTCATAAAGACTGTTGACGTGGTTTATTTGGGGATTTTATAATATCGCTTGCCCTCAGCTGAAAATAAGAGATTGATGGTGCAACTTATTACCGTTGAAGAAATTCAAGCAGTTCATTATCACAACGCTGAGGACTGATTTACTAGACAAAATGTAACTAAACAAAAGTGGGAATTTCATTTGGATTACAAAACTGGATCAATCGCACATGAAGCATATGACAAATGACTTATTCAATGGGACAACGGTTGCATTCTGGTGAACTTCATTCGATTGAAAACCGTAACAGACATTATTCTGATGTCTTTGAGACCGATGCTTTCACCAGGATCTTCAGTACAACATTGATTTTTTGCTAAAATTCCACCAGCCGAAAAAATTACTGAACATTGACTAGAACTTTATTATATTATTAGTTAACTAGTGCGTATTGATAAAGCGCACTGTAAAGGTGTTTCATCCTTCTCGACACTCATCCTCATTACATACTATCTTGTATCCCTGACGGAATGCAAACCACAAACCCTCGGATTGGAAACTGAAACCCTAACCCTGGGGCTAAACGGTTCCCGGGTCATATGAATTTGAGGTTCGCAGTGCATGCATCGATGGAAATAGAAGTGTAATAGTACTACTGGAGAAACCGCGGCTGTTCTACAAATAAAACATATCCGATCTGTGAGGAATGAATGAACTTCTTAGGAGTGAGGTCTACACATCAATGCATGCAACTGGTGGGAAATAAATTCCCATGGAATTAACTTAACCACTCAAAACCGAATCAATTAGTGCACAGTCTATACACAAACCGTATGTCAAAGCAAGGAGAA